TTTTAGACAAGTGTCCTGTGTGCAAGAGACTAGGAAAAAAAAAAAAAAAAGACGGCTGCGTTAGAAAGCGCCCAGTGAGATTAGCACAGAAGTTTATAGCAAAACTTTTCTTTGGAGTTCTATTCATATCAAAAGGTGATGTCATATTTTAGGCATTAAATTAAGAATTCTGAGCCTTTGGGACAAGATTTCTTCTAAATACAAATCATCATATACTATAAAAAGTTAAATCTAGAATATGAATCATCCTGAACAGCTGCCAATGCAATTCGATTGTTAGCTCCAACAGGGCAGGGATTCTTGTGTTTTGCTTTCTGAAGTATCCCCACCACCTAGGAGAGTGCTCAGCACACAGCAGGTGAATAGAATAATAGCCTTTCAATATCTGGTCCAAAATCCCTTTTCTGGATTTATTTGTTTACTTCCCTCATAGAACCTATTCTCCAGCCAAATGCAGGTACTTAAAACAGCAGTGCTCTCAGTTTTAGTTATACACTGATACCACCTCAGGAGATTTAAAATATATTGATGCCAAAGGGATATTACTTTTATTGGTCTGGATGGAACCTGGCCAGAGGGTTTTTAAAAGCTCCCCAAGTGATTCTAATGTGTAGCCAAGGTTACGGAAATTGACTTAAGAGTTTCATTCTTCCCAAATACTTCTCTCCACAGTTTCACCTGTTAAAATCCTACCCATCACTATTGAAGATTAGCTAAATACCTGACTCAGCCATACCTGGAACACTGTTAAATTCATCTTTAAATTATCCGAGTTTTGCACAGCGTCTGGCATATGGCTAGGAATCGATCAATGTTTAAGTGGTACATAATCCTGGGAGCATGGCACACAGCAGAAACTCAGTACCCAGTGATTGAAAGAATGACATACAGCTGATCATGATTTGCAGATTCCCCATGTTTGCAAATCTGCCTACTTGCTAAAACTTGTTTGAAACCCCTCAATTAATACTTGTGATTTTGAGGTCATTCCACAGATACATGTGCAGAGAGGATGGTGAAAAATTTGAGTTGCCTGATGCATATGTTCCAGCAGAGGCTGAACGAGAAGCTCTGCCTTAGTGTTTCATGTCTCTGTAAACAAGAGTCCTTTTCTTTGAGGTCTGTTTAGTGCTACGTGTTTCCCATTTTTGTGTTTTGTTGGTGAATTTGCTGTTTAAAATGGCCTTGAGTGTAGCCGAAATGCTGTCTAGTGTTCCTAAGTGCAAGAAGCCTGTGATGTGCCTTACAGAGAAAATATGACTGTTAGATGGGCTTTGTTTAGGTGTAATTTAGAGTGCTGTTGGCCTTCAGTTCAATGTTAATGAATCAACAATATATATTAATTAAGGCGTCTTTAAACAGAAACACACATAAAACAAGGGTATATATTGATGGGCTGATAAAAACGTTGTGACCAGAGACCATTTCCTTTAGCAAATGGGTACCTCCTAGGTGCCAAGCACTGAGGCTACAGCAAGAACGAGGCAAGTCAGTCCTCTCCTCTCCCCAAGGTTGCAGTGCAGTCTGTGACGAGGGAGGGGGGAGAATTTAAACAATAAATACATGTCAGGTGATGGTAAGTAATTTTTAACCAGGGAAGGCGTCTTAGATAAGGTGATATTTGTGCAGATACCTAAACAAAGTGAGAGGATATGTGTGACAAGGTTATGATCTGAATGTTGGTTTCCCTGCAAAATTCATATATCGAAAACTAACATCCAACGTGATAGAATTAGGAGGTGAGGCCTTTGGGAAGTGAGTAAATCACGAGGATTCCGCACACGTGAATGGGATTAGCACCCTCATAAAAGAGGCTTCAGTAAGCTCCTTTGCCCCACTATCACTCTGAGGATGCAGTGACAAGATCCCCCCTTGACGAGGAACAGAACTTCACCAGACATCGAAGCTGCCAGCACCTTGATCTTGGAATTCCCAGCTTCCAGAACTGTAAGCAATACATTTCTATTATTTATAAATTACCCAGTGTCAAGTACTTGCTTGTAGAGCAGGAACGGATGAAGATGAACAGAAACAAAGCTGTGAGATGACAGCGTGTGTGGTGTGCTCATGGAATAGCAGGGTGGCCGAGTCTGAGGTGGCCAGGAGCCTCCAAGGGAGGAGTCAGAACAAGCAGGAAAGGCACGGTCAAGGGAAGCCAGGCCAGGTAGTGCATTACAAAGCAATGCTTCTCAAGCTTTAAACTGCATTTGAATCATAAGAGGATCCTGAAGATTCTGACTCAGGATGTCTGGAGTGCCGTCTGAGATTTCACATTCTAACAGTTTCATAGGTGATGCTCTTGCTGTTGGTCCCTGGATCCCACTACTTTAAGTAGCAAGGTTGTAGGTCACATGAAGGAACTGGCTTGTATTTTGCGATGGGAAACTGCTGGAGGGTTTTGAGAGGAGGAGCGATGATACTATTTTATATTAATATCTTATCAACTTGGGCTTATTTCCACACTTTCAATTGTGTTTCACTGATCTTTTGCTATTTCTGTGCCTATAGCACATTAATAACTGAAGATTTGTAATATATTTCGTACCCTCTGTGCCAGTCTTCTCATTTTCATATTCTTATCCTGGTTATTTTTGCATGTGCATGCTTCCAGATACTCTTGAGAATTGTTTAGACAAGTTTTAACCAAAAAGCTGTTGGGAGTTTGATGGAGATAGTGCTGTAGAAATAGGTACTAAAAAAGCATTGCTGATGAAAATTAGCTAGGCATGGTGGCAGGTGCCTGTAATCCCAGCTACTCAGGAGGCTGGGGTAGAAGAATCACTTGAACCTGGGAGGCAGACATTGCAGTGAGCCAGGATTGCGCCTTTGCACTCCAGCCTGGGCAACAAAGCAAGACTCTGTCTCCGTCCCCCCCACCCCCCCTTCCCCCGCCCCGCCGCAAAAAAGGATTGCTGATTTATTATGTTAAATTGTTCGATCAATGATAATTTATTGGAAATTTAAAAATCTTTCAACGGATTTCCCCAGATTTCTTTATGAAGGACTTTCTTTTTTTATTGCATTTTAGGTTTTGGGGTACATGTGAAGAACATGCAAGATAGTTGCATAGGTACACACGTGGCAGTGCGATTTGCTGCCTTCCTCCCCTTCACCTATATCTGGCATTTCTCCCCATGCTATCTCTCCCCAACTCCCCACCCCCCCGCTGTCCCTCCCCTATTCCCCCCAACAGACCCCAGTGTATAGTGCTCCCCTCCCTGTGTCCATGTGTTCTCATTGTTCAACACCCACCTATGAGTGAGAACATGTGGTATTTTTCAGTTCTTGTGTCAGCTTGCTGAGAATGATGTTCTCCAGGTTCATCCATGTCCCTACAAAGGACAGGAACTTATCGTTTTTGATTGCTGCATAATATTCCATGGTGTATATGTGCCACATTTTCCCTGTCCAGTCTATCATTGATGGGCATTTGGGTTGATTCCAGGTCTTTGCTATTGTAAACAGTGCTGCAATGAACATTCGCATGCATGTGTCCTTATAGAATGATTAATACTCCTTTGGATATATACCCAGTAATGGGATTTCTGGGTCAAATGGAATTTCTATTTCTAGGTCCTTGAGGAATTATCACACTGTATTCCACAATAGTCGAACTAATTTACACTCCCACCAGCAGTGTAAAAGTGTTCCTATTTCTCCACATCCTCTCCAGCATCTGTTGTCTCCAGATTTTCTAATGATCGCCATTCTAACTGGCGTGAGATGGTATCTCAATGTAGTTTTGATTTCCATTTCTCTATGAAGGACTTTCTTAACAAACTTTTATTTTTATTTTCTTTGAGACAGGGTCACACTTTGTTAACCAGGCTGTAGTGCAGAGGTGCAATCTCAGCTCACTGCAACCTTCACCTTCTGAGTTCAAGCAATTCTCCCCTCTTAGCCTCCTGAATAGCTGGGACTATAGGCATGTGCTACCACACTCGGCTAATTTTTATATTTTTAGTAGAGAGGGGGTTTTACCATGTTGGCCAGGTTGGTCTTGAACTCCTGATCTCAAGTGATCTGCCCGCCTCAGCCTCCCAAAGTGCTGGGATTACAGGGGTCAGCCACCACAACTGGCTTGTATTTTTCAATAAACTTTTCTTAACATATTTTGCTTTTTGTTCTTGCTGCTGAGAATGGAGGTTTTTTCCTTCTCCCATTATGTTTTCTAACTGGCTATTGTTGGTGTCTAAGAAAACAGCTGTTCTTGTATATAAAGCTTCATTGAAAATTTTACATGTCTTAGTGGATTCTTAATGTTAGTATTTCACTGAGGCTCTGGTGTTTTCCAGGTATATATAATAATATAAAATAATCAGATTTCCTCTTCCTTACCAGTTTTTATATCTCTTGATCATGCTTTTGTTCTACTGCATTGCAGTATTAAAGAACAAGGGTTATTTTGTGTTGTTTCTGATGTTAATGAGAATGACTCTAGTGTTTTAATACAACATATATACATATATCTCATGTGGGACAAATTAACCTCTCTATGCCTTAGTTTCCTCAATTGTTAAAAACAGAAAGATAAAATACGGTTGTTTTGAAATTGAATGAGCTAATAAATATAACACTCTCAGAACAGTGCCAGGCACATAGTAAGGACTCTATGTTAGCTACATGTAATTATAACTTTTTATACATGTATATACCACACTACATAGAGCCTTTGAAAAATAATTTACAGAAATACATTTTTCTCCTACTTAAAAGATTTAGAGAAAATAATTTAGAAATTTGAATTACATTAAAATGATCTATTAGATGATCACAATTTTTTAACTTACTAACATTGTGAATTATATTAAGATTACCCAATATAGAAATATAATTACTTTGAAGAGGATTACATATGGTGATATTTCACTAAGAATTTTTAAATCGATAATCGTAAGAATGGCTTGTCACTTTCTTTAACCTATTTGCTTTGCCACCATTGGGTACCACTATTTTGCTGATTTAAAAGGGACATGTATTCCATTAAGAATATATTCTCAATGGCAAACCAACTGGCAAATGCCCAAGGGAGCCAGACTCCACTGGACCACTTGTTCCTATGCAGGCACTACTACTTCCAGAGATCTGGGTTACTGGTATTCTGAAACTAGTCTCTGATTATTTACATAAATTCCAGGGTACAGTTTATTCTAGTCAAAGTCCAAAGAAAAGAGAATGAGCTAGAGGTTGATTATATAATTTATGGCTGTAAGAACCAATCCCATACCATGCCTTCTCCCTGAAACTAACCAAGCAACCTATACAAGTTCCTTAACCTCTCTGTGTCTCATTTTCCTCAACTATAAAATGGGGATAATAATACCACTAACAGCATAGGGTTGTTATGAGGATTGAATGAGTTAATATACACAGTAACTTATAACAGTGACTGTCACATAGTAAATGGTGAGGCATATCTTTAACAAAGTGTAAAAGTTAAATTGCAGTGCAAAAACTAGAAACCTGATGGTCATTATTTATTCTATATTCTTGTTACTATAATTCTAAAACATCTCTCCTTAGTGATGTAGAAGATTATGCAGGCAAAGGCTTTAACTGTATCCCATTAGCTCTTACCACATGTTGATAGAACCAAGAAATCAAATGCCTTGGAGTTAAAATGCCCAACTCTATTCCTTTGTGCATGACATTCTAACATTTGAATTCTGGGAAAAAATAAAATAATTTAGAATAATGTTTCTCAAAGGGAAAAAGAAATAACATATAGTTTGGAAAAGCCAAACATACCTATCCTTTTTTTTTTTTTTTTGAGATGGAGTTTCACTCTCGTTACCCAGGCTGGAGTGCAATGGCGCGATCTCGGCTCACCTCAACCTCCGCCTCCTGTGTTCAGGCAATTGTCTTGCCTCAGACTCCTGAGTAGCTGGGATTACAGGCACACGCCACCGTGCCCAGCTAATTTTTTGTATTTTTAGTAGAGATGGGGTTTCACCATGTTGACCAGGATGGTCTCCATCTCTTGACCTCGTGATCCACCCGCCTCGGCCTCCCAAAATGCTGGGATTATAGGCGTGAGCCACCGCACCCAGCCCATACCTATCCTTTTTATGAAAAAATATTACTAAAGATTAAGTGCCATTAAACACTATGGATAGTGCAGATAATTAGAAAATAATGTTAGAAATTGGTAAGGAACGTAATAAGAATCCTTGGAAATGAATGATTTAGAAGAAATAAATTGATTTAATGGTGGGCAGGAGTGAAGGCAAGAGGAAGAAAACTAAAGTATAATTAGAAGAAAATAGAGCAGGCACCTGAAAGGAAACAAAGATTTTCCTCTAGAAAATGAGAAAACAGGCCAGGCGCGATGGCTCATGCCTGTAACCCCAGCACTCTGGGAAGCCCGGGCAGGTGGACCACCAGAGGTCAGGAGTTCAAGACCAGCCTGACCAACATGTTAAAATCCCCTCTCTACTAAAACTACAAAAATTAGCTGGGCATGGTGGCAGGCTCCTGTAATCCCAGGTACTTGAGTGGTTGAGGCAGGAGAATCGCTTGAACCCAGGAGGCGAATGTTGCAGTGAGCCAATACCAGGTTATTGCACTCCAACCTCGGCGACAGAATGAGTAAGACTCTGTCTCAAAAAAAAAAAAAAAAAAGGAAAAAAGAAAATGGGAAAATAGCTAGGTGTAGTGGCTCCGTGCCTGTAATTCTAATACTTTAGGATGCAGGGGTGAAAGGATCACTTGAGGCCAGGAGTTCAAGACCAATCTGGGTAACATAGCAAGACCCCATCCTATGAAAAACAAAATAGGCCAGTATGGAGGCTCACGCCTGTAATCCCGGCAGTTTGTGGAGCTGAGATGGGTAGATCACTTGAGGTCAGGAGTTTGGGATCAGTCTGGCCAACATGTCAAAATCCTGCCTCTTCTAAAAATACAAAAATTACCCAAGTGTGGTGGTATACGCTTATAAACCCAGCTACTCAGAAGGCTGAGGCAGGAGAACCACTTGTACCTGGGAGGTGGAGGTTGCAGTGAGTCGAGATCACACCACTGCACTCCAGCCTGGGCAACAGAGTGAGACTCCGTCTCAAAAATAAATAAAAGAAAAAATAAAATAAACTAGCTGGGCATGGTGGTGCATGCTTACAGTCCCACTACGAGGCTGAGGCAGGAGATCGTTTGAGCCCAGGAGTGAGAGGCTGCAATGAGCCATCATCACGCTAGTGTACTCCAGCCTGAATGACACAGTGAGACCCTGTCTCTAACAAATAAATAAATACATAAATAAATAATAAAGAAAATGAGAACTGAATCCTTCATTTCAGCTTAACAATATACATGGTGGATAGTGAAAAATTATTATAAAATAAATGGCTATAGACAAATTTAGAGCAGCAGTCCCTTCCCATCTCTCCTATAATTTCACTAACATTTAAATTTCTAGCCACAAATTCTCCTAGTCATAAATTGCTATACATTTCAGTTAACTTTCTCCAAAGATCTATAAATTATTAACCATTGAAAAGTTAAAGCCATAATAATTTTTCTCCTAAAATAACTGTTACTTAACAAAATCATTGGTGTGAAAAAATGATCCTTGTGAAAGAGGAGTTTATTTTATTGATAGAGGTATAACTTAGATGTATAACTTAAATATAGAATACCTTAGTTCTTGGGGCATTTTAGAAACATGAGCTAGTTGATCAAATTTTACTTTAAAATTCTATACAAATAATACATTTTTAAAGTCATACTTTCACGAGAAGCAGAAAAATAGCAGCATGGTCCATAATTATTCAGTCAAACTAAATGAAAGGTTAAGCCAGTGCCAATGAATTAATTTATTCACAGAAGAAACATTTATCTGAATGCCTACTACGGGAAAGAGATGATGCTTAGTGAAAGACGGAGGTTACAAACATGAATACAAGTTGCTACTCTTGAGAAGTAGAGGGACCTGCTGCGAGCCGGCGGCATGGAGTAGGGCGGTGGAGCAAACGTGAATGTTGGAGTCGCCCACGGTGAAGTGAATCCAAATACCCGTGTCATGAGCAGTCGGGGTATGTGGCTGACATCTGCACTGGGAGTTGGCTTGCTTCATATTGTCTCACTCAGCATTCCCTTCTTCAGTGTTCCTGCTGCCTGGACTTTAACAAGTATTATACATAATCCGGGGACATATGTATTTTCGCATGCAGTGAAAGGAACACCTTTTGAAACTCCTGACCAGGGTAAAGCAAGACTCCTAACTCATTGGGAACAACTGGATTATGGAGTACAGTTTACATCTTCACGGAAGTTTTTCACAATTTCTCCAATAATTCTATATTTTCTGGCAAGTTTCTATAGGAAGTATGATTCAACTCACTTCATCCTAAACACAGCTTCTCTCCTGAGTGTGCTAATTCCCAACATGCCACAACTACATGGTGTTCGGATCTTTGGAATTAATAAGTACTTACATTTTTTGAAACTGAACAAAAATTTTTATGGCTACTGAATTTCTTATAAGGAAGGAGTGGTTAGTAAACTGCACTGTTTCTGTGATAATGTGAAATGAGAGGTATTTACATTGGAGAGCCAATGGCTTGTCCTTCAAGTGCTATTTTGAAGTGCAGATTTCTGTTAAATGATGCTTCTCTTTAATACATGTGGTATCTGAAGAGAGGCTTTATAAGCAGGCTGGGCAGGCCCAGCTTATAAGTTAAAGGGCAACACAGTGAAGAGGTAGTAGATAAATTCAAGGAAATAGGAATTTGTAAGAAACTAGGACCAGCTTAACTTATAATGAATGGGAATTGTGTTAAGAAAGGAACATTTCCAATCATTCAGTTATGGTTAAAGCAGACTTACATGTAAACCAGAATCATCTGTATCTATACAGGTTTATTACAGATTGTTTTTATTGGCCAGGCGCGGTGGCTCAAGCCTGTAATCCCAGCACTTTGGGAGGCTGAGGCGGGTGGATCACGAGGTCAAGAGATCGAGACCATCCTGGTCAACATGGTGAAACCCCGTCTCTACTAAAAATACAAAAAATTAGCTGGGCATGGTGGCGTGTGCCTGTAATCCCAGCTACTCGGGAGACTGAGGCAGGAGAATTGCCTGAACCCGGGAGGCGGAGGTTGCGGTGAGCCGAGATGGCGCCATTGCACTCCAGCCTGGGTAACAAGAGCGAAACTCCATCTCAAAAAAAAAAAAAAAAGATTGTTTTTATTACCATAAAAAAAGGAGAAAATGTATTAAGGAAACCAGATAAATGAATATCTATAAAATACAGAGATGCCTGCATATAGGGATGTGTCATAGAGTACAAGAGACAAAGACTTTGTCTCAGATTTGGGAAGCTTCTGGAGGTGACATATAAACTGAGGACAGAATGACAGTGACGAACTATTCCTAATTCCCTGTGGTATAGTGTCTGTGTTGGGCAGAAGGAGGGGAGTAGTGTGAGACAAAGGAAAAAAGGACTGTTGCCCAGAGAACATCACGATCAAAGGTCTAGAGGCGTGAGAGATGATACAACATACAGAAAACTGTGATGAATACCCATGGAGAAGTGGCTAGTCAGGACGTGGCTGCTTCATGCAAAGCCTATACTGCTACACAGTTTCACCTGCGGTAGTGGGGGATCACTGAAGGTTTCTGAAAAAGGGAATAGTGTTGGTCTACCCCCATTTTACAAGGGTAATGGAAACCACTGAAGCTTTCTGAGCACACATTTCTATTTTAGGATGACAACTCCAGCTTTTATTAGTTTTGGGGAGACAAGAAACTCAAAGATGACAGTTTAGGAAGGTATTGGAATAGTCTAAGTAAAAGCTGACCAAGTTACCTAAAATTATGCAGAAAGAAAGAGAAACAAACATGAGGAATGTTCTAAGACAGAGCCAAGGGGTGGAGTCAGGATTTGATACTAAAGACAACAGAGGAAGGAGTTATAAAATAACTGATGGCATCAAACGATACAAACACATCACAGAATGACAGAGAACAGGGCTTGGGTCCGGGTTGCTAATGGCCCCCTGAGAGGGCTGTTTCTGCAAAAGGAAGAGCGAGGGGATCAACAGGCATATTTTCTCAGTCTAATGAAGTCTACGAACCTCTTTTCAAAGGAAGGCTTTTCAATGCATAAAACAAAAACACAGGATTGAGTTGCAAAAGAAGCCAATTATATTCTAGTCCTCAAAATATTAAAAATTGTGATATAGTAAAAATGTGTGCGTTTTTACTAACACATTAAAAAAACAAGATGTAGCAGCAAATCTAATAATTAACATGATTTTGACATAAAATTTCAGGATATTTGTTGTTTCAACTGTAATGTGTAGGGGACATCATTTCTATGGGTGAATACTGCTATTAACGTTGGGTTTGCTGCTTACATTCATAATTAAGGGAAATGCTAATTTTCTATTAGACGTTGTAGGAAAAAAAGATGAGAAAAATTTTCCCATCTCCAAAATATATGTATTGACTCTTTGGAGAAGTGTAGAGCACAGGTTAAAAACTCCTAGCTAAGAAATAAGCATGCCCTAGAGAGAGATGACAGCATATGTTTGGCAGGAAAAGAATAAGACATAGAAGGAGTATTTTGGGGATGGCAGGGAGGGATAGGAATAGTTTCAAAAGGAGAAGACTTTTCTTTCTTTTTGGATAAGAACTTTAAACCAGGAGATGAATTCAGTGGGGCAGGAGAGATGAAGGGTGTGTGCACGCACATCTGTGTATGAATGAACAAATGAATCAATGAGAACAACAGAAAGAACAACAACTGAAGAGAGAAAAGAAGAAGAAACAGCAGTGAAATGGGGAAAACAACAGACTTGCTTCAGTCAGGCAACCACCGGCTTTCCATCCCGTAATTCTCTGCCAAAACCAACCACTCTCAACTCTGCAGTCCTTCCTGGCCTCTGCAATGCCCAGTGGTACAGGACTGACTGGGAGTGGAGAGTAAAGGGCAAGGAAAGGGGCCTCTGGCAGGGAACTGCCAGTCAACAGAAGCAGGTTAATTTCTGTGGCTTTTCTCCCCACTTTTCTAGTCCTCCTTTGCTCTTTCCCAGAGCTTAATGCTGCCATTTGGCAATCCAAGTACTTTATTCCTAATTGCTCCTTCCATTCTCTCTTCTACCAACAATCAAAATTCCAAAAGGGATCAGGTGTGGTGGCTCACACCTATAATCCCAGCACTTTGGGAGGCTGAGGCAGGCGGATTGATTGAGCCCAGGAGTTCCAGACCAACCTGGGCAACATGGCAAAACCCCATCTCTACAAAAAATTAGCCAAGTGCGGTGGTGCACATCTGTAACTCGAGCTATTTGGGACGCTGAGGTGGAAGGATTGCTTGAGCCAGGGAAGTCAAGGCTACAATGAGCCAAGATGGTGCCACCACACTCCATCCTGGGCGATAAAGCCAGACCCTGTCTCAGAAATATATGCATACATTCCCAAAAGAAAAAAAATCAGTAAAAGTGTTAAGATGATTACATGACTAAAGTAATTAAACATCTATATGTGAAGGGTTCTTGAGGAAGGGATGGAAATGCAATGGATATTATAAGGACATTATATATATCCATATATGGATATATGGATAAGGGCAACAGTGGATATTATAAGGACAGCACTTCTCGTGTGCTCCTGGTCTCTGGACCTCCTTCCTTATCCCTGCACCTTTCCTTCTCCATGTGTGTGTTCACGTGCATGTGTGTTCACGTGTGCATGAGTGCACACGCACTGAAAGAAAGGGAAGTGGGGAGGATAAAATCAGCTTACCCGATTTCTCACTTGCAGAAAAAATTTTACTTCACTGGGTTTGGTAATCAAAACCTATTGGGGGCTAGGTGCAGTGGTTCACGCCTGTAATCTTAGCACTTTGGGATGCTGAGGCGGGAGGATAGCTTGAGCCCAGGAGTTTGAGACCACCCTGGGCAACACAGTGAGACTTGGTCTCCACAAAAACTAAAACAAAAAATCAGCCAGGCCTGGTGGTGTGTGCCTATACTCCCAGCTGCTTGGGAAGCTGAGGTCGGAGAAGCCTTGAGCCAGGGAGGTTCAGGCTGCAGTGAGCCGTGATTGCGCCACTGCACTCCGGCTGGGGTGACAGAGCAAGACCTTGTCTCAGGAAAAAAAAAAAAAGCTACCGGGGAAGCAAAGATCTGGCAATCAGACAAATGAGTCAGTCTTCAGAATGGTATTTCTAAAATAAGTTACTGACTTTTATTTTACTTTCTAATTCTGATTATTTTTTTGAGATAACACGAAAAGTTGAGTAAGAGTCTATCACACATTGAAGAGTATGGGAATTCTATACACAGTATACAGGTTTATAAACTACTTCAGTATTTTGAGCATATGTAAATACATGTTGCACTGTCCTGCTCACATTGGGTACTTATTTGATGGTATATACCTAATCTAGTCAAACGCACATTAATTTGCTATCTAAGTAGGAAACAAACAGTTGTGGTCTACCTGCTATTTTAAGGAATGCTCAGGCCCAAGACTCAGCACCTGGTAGCTCACCTGCCAAGGTAACATTCTGGCTTCTGGCTGTCACTCAGGAGTTCCAAAGTGTTTTCTCCACCTGCCACATCTTCGCTCAGGTGCTATCACAGCACGGGGTGAGCTCGAAACTAAGTTGCAGCTGCCAACCTGGTACGTGCTTCCCTGATATCCAGGCCAGCAGTTCAATTTCCCACCACAACCAAATCCATAAAATTAATTTTCAAGTTTTTTCTTATAAACGGATTCCTGATTTTTCTTTAAAAAATTATACTTTATACTACCTACACTCTGAAGCTAGTCTTTCTTTTAGTACAGAATATCTTTCTAATTTGTAGAATCTGAATTTGACTTGAAACATTGGCTGTTTCTTGTTCCCTACTGATATTCTTATTCCACAGAGGGGTTTGAAAGACCTTAGGACCAGTCAGAGCCTCTCTCATGAATGTAATCAGAAGAACTGAGAGAACACTTAGGAGTAGGAAACTTAATGGGAAATAAAAGGGCAGCGCTGCATTAGTTGTCTGTTCATTGTCTTACAGTAATCACTAGAATTGCCACCCTTCTCCGTTCTCAAGAATGTGGAATAATCTCTGTAATTCCACTATTCCCATGGCAGTTCATTCATTCCATCCACAAACAGGAGGAGAAAGAGGAGTTAATTATTATTTCCAAAGCTTTAAAATCTTGAGCATGAGGGTGGAGAGTGTTCAGAAAAGCTCCTGGAAATATTATTAAACTGGTAAAAAGAGTAGAGTGGAGGCCATGGAAAAGCCGCAGGTGCTGGCTCAACTTCCAACCCCTAAGAAATCCTATAAAACCCCTAGAAGGGAGCATACCAGGGTCAGTGTGGAGATCTATTAATATCACAGGGAAATTCCATTTAAGGAACTCAATTACTTTTAAAACAAACTTGAAAAAATACATTTATTTTGAAAGTTACATCATCCCTATTCTTATACAAAGTGGACAAAAAGCCCTGACAAACATAAGTTT